AAATTCTTCCATAACATTATTTTTAAAGATTTTAATATTTTTTTTGTGCTTCACGCTATCATGCCTGTGGACTCTCTAGATTTCTTTGAAGTGATTATGTTAAAGGGACAGTTGCGCCATTTTTTTTTATCAATCATACTTTAGTCTCAGAAACTGAAACTTTTTAGCTAAGACAATCAGTAATAGTGTTCACAACTCACTGTCAAAATTTGAGCCTTCAAATCCATGTGTGTCTAGAATTATCTACGTTTGAAAGTTAAAATGACGACTCGTCTTTTCTTGAGACTCTGCCTTATATAGAAAAGATCTATATAGAAACAATGAGTAAAATTCCTAGTTTGAGATATTTTTATCCGCCCACATGAAATGGGGGGGGCGTATATTGTTGTCACCCATTTCCGTCGGTCCGTCCGTCCACAATTGCTCGTAAACACTCTACAAGACACAATTCTTGATGGATTTTGACAAAACTTGGTATGGTTGTTTGTAATCACCCTAGGATGAACCCTATAGAAAATCAGAAGAATAGAAAAATATTTAGTATAAGTTATTGCCCTTGTTCTTGAAAACGCGTTCAATTTTTAGCTCGTAAACACTCTTGAAGGGACAATTCTTAACAGATTTTAACGAAACTTGGCATGAGTGTTGGTAATCAACCAAGGATGAACCCTATTGAAAATCAGAAAAATCGAAAAATATTTAGTATGAGTTATTGCCCTTGTTCTTGAAAACGCTTTCAAATTTAGCTCTTAAACACTAAAAGGCACGATTCTTGCTGGATTTTGACAAAACTTGGTTTTATTATTCAGTCCTGGGCTGAAGATTGAATATTTGTCTTCTAGAGTTTTCACGAGCTAAAGATTGAACACGTTTTCAAGAACAAGGGCAGTAACTCATACTCAATATTATTCAGTATCGCCCTAAAGAGTTCAAAAGAAGTGTATGACTGAAGGTTGAATATTTCATACTGGTAATTGTTACTGTATTGCCAAATATTTTTATTCAAAATCAAAGCTGATAGTGGGCGTATATTATCTTGCCTGGCAAGCTATCTATGAAGGAATTATGTGATTTTCGTACATTTCTAGTACTTCTGAAGACATATATTCAAAACGCAAATCAAATCTCTGAAAATGGCGCATCTGTCCCTTTAAGTAGAATTTTCAGAAAATTCTTTCAATAACGTAATTCTTAAAGATTTTAATCTTTTTTTCTGCTTCACAACATCAAGCCTGTGGACTCTGTAGATTTCTGTAATTTTTATAACTGGAGGTGAATTTCTCTCACTTCCTTCTTGAGATTGAATTAGTTCCTTCCAGCCATCTTGTATTTCCAGATGTCACTTCATCAAGGCCAGAATCATTCTGAAAAAACTCAAAATTAAAACTTCTGTACCTAAAGTTAAAGTAAATGCAAAGAAATTTTCAATCCTAATTGAAATTAGACCAAACTTTCGTTCAGTTTTTTATTAGCTTTTATTTTTAATATAGCCACTTCTGTTAGGGTCTAACGACAGCCCTCTTGAACTTTTGTCAAATTAACCTTTTGACCTTAGTCAACGATGTCTGCTTTGACCAATCAAATTGACAACAATGATATAAACTTTCGTTCCTTCTTTATTAGCTTTTATTCTTAATGTAGTCACTTCAGTTAGGGTCTAACGACAGCCCTCTTGAACTGTAGTCAAATTAACTTGATAAACACCATGTTACAAAATGCCAGCGCTGGAGAGGGTAGAAATTTGATTGGTTAAAGCAGACATCATGGATAGGTCAAAAGGTTAATTTTACGAATGTTGAAGAGGGCTGTCGTTAGACCCTAACTGAAGTGGCTATATTAAAAATAAAAGCTAATAAAAACCATTCTTGTTGTTTTTATTTTCTAAATAGTTTTCTTTCCTGATTATTCAGTTTTTTAAGAAAATGGCAAGAAAATGTATTGTATTCTTGAAGGACAAAAACATGGCTACCATCTGGTCTACCATTGAAAAATTCTGGTTTTGTGTTGACCTTTGAAAGATGTCAAAAAGAAAAGAAAATATGCGTAAAATGTTGAAGAATGGTTTCCCTGGGGGTTAACCTTTACTATTTTTCACAGATGGTTCCAGTTGGAATCCTGTCTTTGAATCAAAGGAATTGTTTAAGAGTCGGTTCCTGAAAGCATTCAAAGAATATTAACAACAAAAATCTTGAATGAAACTTTGACAAACTCGTATTTTCATGAAAGAGATTGTAAAGAGGTTTTCTAATCGTTTTTATGTGTATCAGGGACACTGATAGCATCAATTTACACCATTCTAATTTTCAATCAGACGTCTGTGGTTCTTGTTAAAGAGATTGTAAAGAGGTTTTCTAAATTTTTTATGTGTATCAGGGACACTGATAGCATCAATTTACACCATTCTAATTTTCAATCAGATGTCTGTGGTTCTTGTTAAAGAGATTGTAAAGAGTTTTTCTAAATTTTTTATGTGTATCAGAGACACTGATAGCACCAATTCACATCATTCTAATTTTCAATCAGACGTCTGTGGTTCTTGTTAAAGAGATTGTAAAGAGGTTTTCTAAATTTTGTATGTGTATCAGGGACACTGATAGCATCAATTTACATCATTCCAATTTTCAATCAGATGTCTGTGGTTCTTGTTAAAGAGATTGTAAAGAGGTTTTCTAAATTTTTTATGTGTATCAGGGACACTGATAGCATCAATTTACACCATTCTAATTTTCAGTAGCACACAGGGCCTCAGTTT